ATATAAGCAATTAATAATTCTACCAGTATATTCACTGAGTACTGGAGTTAGTGATGGTCAGACCTTGTTCTCAAGCTAAACTTGTATTTTCCCATTTTTGCTTGGGAAGACTCTGCTCATACAGATTCTGCTAAATGTACAGAAGTAACAGTTTCCTCACAGAAAGTAAGTTCTCCACCCCAACTCAAGTGTGGCATTGTAACTTCATGCAGAGGAGCAGGTATTAGTGAATTCATGTTCTTCTGCTTGCATGTCTGTGTGCAATATGCTTATCTACGTGTCCTTAAGTAAAGTACTTGGTTTATCACTTTCCGATAGTTCATGAGGATGCAGTACACAGTATGTACAAATGCTTAGAGTAATAAAACCACCGTAAGAATAATCTTTAGGCCTCTCTGGGTGTAACGATATTGCTCTTATTCTTCTGCATGTATCTACCATATAGCTCACCAATCACCATGATTTTTTTTTTTTTAACATACAATACCACACCAGGAACAATACAGATCTAAAGGCTTTATAAAGGATAAACAAGGTTGATCAAAATCAGGCAGTACATATGTTTTTACTTTTGTATTTAAAAAAGTAAAAGATACCACTACTATCCAAAGTATTCACCAAACACTGATCATCAGAAAACCCCTGTATACTAAGCATGGAAACATGAAGCAATTTGCCCAAAATCATGAAGGAAGCTTGTGGGATAGCTTCAGAACAGCCTACTTATCTAGTGCCAAATTCTCCTTGTTGAATACTCAGTTATTCTTTTGACTCTTTGTCATAGTATCCAGCTTTAGCCAGTGTGAAAACCCAGTTCCTTTTTCAAAAGTGGTTACGGATTCATAGTGTCACGTAGCTAAAATACTCAGAGCCATAAATTTGATAAATTTATCCATATACATCCTTTAAATGGCATGAAAGGAATGAATATTCCTTGCTATCACTGTAGAGTGAGGGCTCTACCTTGCCTAAATCAGTCCTGTCTTACACTAAACTCATCACTGGCTCATTTAACATAGCTTTGGCAACAGAAGTCCACTTTAATCTGACAGTGTCTGCTATAAATCATTAGCTCAGTCTCCCATCAGGCCATTTTGGTTTTGGAGCAGAAACATGTTGCAAAATCTCCCTAGAGAGATCACTCAGCTAATTAAATTGTTTCTTTAAGAGAGTTGATCATACAATAGAGAAGAGCTCAACATGGACATTTTGGGACCAGCCAACCCTTTAAAAGAAGTCATTGCTTAACTTGGATGTCTCACTTCTACTGCAGGTCTCCCAGTATTATTAGTGCTTATACAGACAAAGCTACATGAGGAATCAATGTGAAACTCAAGACTCAGTCCTTGTGGCTCAGTGCTGTGTGCTCATCACCACTCTGCACTGCCTATCAGTGAACAAGCTCCTCTAACTTGACTACGTATCAGTGCATCTGATGAGTGGACTGCAAACAGCTCACACTGGAGGTTGAGTGCAATGGACGTTTTGTTTATTGATATCCATTAAAATCACAAAAGGAAAAAAAATCCTTAGAATAGAGTTGGGTTTCTTTCAGAAGCATCCTTTCCCAAACTGCATCAAACCATATACTATTCAAACCCTTTAAGTGTCAGAACCCCTGCTCAGTTCAGTTAAGCTTGCAGTTGAAGTCTGAATCTGACAGTGTGAGCAGTTAAGTTTAAGACTTTAGAAGCCAAATTCAAAGGAATTCAGGGTAGCTTTTTTTCCCCTCTAAAAGTCATTATTAAAAATTATTTCTAAAAATCATACCCAGCTGCCACGGTTTAAATCATAGCAGCATCATTTCTGATTTGAATCCTGGCAGATAAGCTCAGTCCTTTGTCCTCTGGTTGGAGATAAGTCAATGTTATTTTTTGTGAAGAGAGGTCTTTGACAACCAAAAGTATAAAACCAAGATCCAGGATGGTCTTAAGTATCCTCAGGGAGGTCTTTAGACCTTCTGCTCAAAGCAGGATCAGCTCTAAGGTCAGACCAGATTGTTCAGATGTTTATCCAGTCTGAACCTGAATACCTCCAAGGACGGAGACAGCACAGCTTTCCTGGGCAACCTGCTCCCTGGCATGTGTCACAGTCCAAATTTAATTTGGGAAATGCTTATTGGAGTCTTTCACATGAGAAGCTTGCCCAGAGGCATGAAGACTTTGTAATCCACGTGGTTGTAAGAAGTAATAATAAAAGAAATACTTATTTCCATATTTGTTTCATTTCATACTTTAACAAATGTCTTTGATTTGCTAAAATTCAGAACAGACAAGCCTGTTAGCTAGCCCTTGGAGAAACACAGCTCTAGGTCAGCTCAGACATACTCCTCCAGAAAGCAGATGTTCTGTATTTGTAGTTTCCCTCAATACATTCAAGACTCAGTTGTGGAATGTGGTCAGTCAGCAGTGTTTTGAGCACACAACATACACACAGATATGCCTTTTGTCGGTAACCTTACAGAGAGGCAGCTCACACAGAGGCTGGAGCCTTATTATTAATAGCTAAGGCAAACAGAGCTGATCTCCAGCACCAGGGCTTTCTCCAGAAATGCTTGTTATGAATGTGGGGTCAGGGCAGCGAGGGCAAGTTTCTTCCCAGTACTTTGTATGGAGCAGGGAGAATGGAGAGATGAGCTTTGGTAGACTAAGAAGTCTCACATTTTGTGTATTCGGAGAAACATAGCTTCCCTATTTTGACTGGAGCAGGCTTTGGAGAAAAGTACCTTTCAACTTTCATGAACAGTTAACACCTTTAAAGATGCAAACAGCGTGAAGGATTTTATCTCAGTAGTGAGACTCTAACCCACTCCCTAGAAGGAAGACATTTTTACTCCCTTTCCCCACATTTTTGAGTACCCAGATGGAAGAATCTGGCCTTAAAATGCATGTGTAGCAAACTAGGAATCTTGAGGCTTTGTCATGCCTTTGGCAGTGCTGACATCAGCGCGATGTCTCACTGAAGACCTTGGCAATTTTACAAGAGAGAATTTATTCTTTTCAGTTGGAAACAGATAGCTTGTCATCAGCCAAAACACATGGCAACTCCAGCGCATTGTAAGGATTCTTCACCCATCTCCCCCAAAAGCATCTCTGGGAATCCCACTGTTCTCTGGCACATTTCTTATGGAAGAGCAAAGCAGGAGGCTGAGATGTAGCTTTATAAGGTTATAGAATTCAAAGACTTTCAAACCAATTAACTGCAAAGGATATAAAACAGTGACTTATATAATGAGTCAAGGCTCACACAGTGAAAAGATAATAGGAATTGTCAGCCTAGTTCAGCTAAGAAAAAGATCCATTTTGCCCAATAACCTGCTACATTTAGCAGCCTGCAGCAGTTGCCTAGGAAAGGGTGAAAAAAAAGGGAAATGTGAAGAGCGATTAATCCCTTGCCAGTCTCCTAGCTGCTAATCAGCTGTGTTGGGGCTTTGGAGCCAAAAGCTGTACCCTGAACAATGTACATGATGATTATTCGAGGACCAATGTTTCATGGTGTTCATTTTTAACCTAGCTATACTTCTGACCTGTACAACCCACTATTGGAAGGGGTAGTACCACTTATGCATCATGTGAAGAATACTTATTCTATTTTCTTCTTTCTTGAATTCCCTGGCACATTGCTGGAATCTACTTGATATTTATACTTGTTCATTCAGTTATCTTTTAACTGCAATGAAAGCCACAGATCAGATGAAAGAAATTCATTTAAATAATCGGGAGGCCTCTATTCACAAGTACAGCAGTGTGCAGCTGAGGGACATTCACTCTTTAGCAGTGGCTACTGTATGTGAAAGTATGATTCTACTCATTGAACTTTGTATGTTATCCACTGGATTGCTGGAATGAATCTCCAGTCCAACTTGGGTTAATGGTGTTTTGCCATTGATTTCACTGGAGCCAGATTTTCATCTTTGGCCCTACACCCGCATTCCTTTACTTGCTCACTAGCCCACATACCTGTGAGGGCAGCAGAGCCAATGCAGTTACCTGTGTGTGACTAGGATGCAGCCTCGCTGGTTGAACTAGAATTCGTCCAGGTGCCTGGGCAAGCTCTGCTCTCCTCCGCCTTGCCTCAAAACCCCTCTGCGGGTCATAGATAGCAGAGCCTAGAAACAGACCCATCCTGCAGACTAATGTTTTAACCAAATCACCCTCTCTGCTTGTAGAACTTCCCTAGATTTCCCTGGAAAGTGTTTGCTTTCAGGGTGGGTTCATTAGCTCTTCCAGAGCTAGATGTCACAGCTCTAGATTTTGTCTGATACTCAAGCTAGCTGGTCTAGATCTAGGTTGCAGTTTTATCTGCAAAAAAACCTGTAACTGTCTACCAGTCTACAACCATCTGCAGCTGACCACAGCCCACTACAACAAACTTGATAGCCTGAAAGTGTCATCTGACAAGGCTGTTTGAAGCTTTAAAATACATGTGTGTAAAAGCCAATATATGAAGGGCTCCATATTTAAAACAGAGTGCCTTTAGTCACTGCTTTCTGTTACTAAAAAACAGCAGACAATGGTAGGAATTTCAATTAAAAGGATAAAATCTCTCTCCCCCAAGCAACAGGATGTTTTCAAATTTACAGTCTAATAGAAAGCACCTCAATCCTTCCTGAACCAACTGTTTTAAAATTTGCAGTCTAGCAAACAACTGGATGCCGCAAACATGAAATTGGAAAAAGAAGAGGTATCTAACCAAAAAAATGGAGGCGTGAGCTTTTTTTCCCAGTGTTTTTTTTAAAAGTCTGAGCTGTTTTGTACCTCCATCTGTAATTAGTAATTTTATCAAATAAAACACAATATAGCCCTACTGAACTTGCTCATAGTCCTTATTACAATGTCACTGTCCAATCCAGATATTTTTTAAAGTACCAGTTTTTCATTTTAGTCTTCTTAACTTATCTGATTATTTAATTTAATTTTTGGCATATCATCATATATAAAGCAAATGTAGAGTGATGTCTGAAGAATGTGTATGTAGCTAAAACATTATTATGGACTTACCAACAACTGTAAGGTTGACTTGTGCTTGTCTGCTGCCAAGTTTGTTCTCTACAACTAGGGTGTAACAGCCACAGTGTTCCTGCTTTGTTGATGATATTGTTAGCTTGCTGCTGTTTTCAGCATTCTCAATTTTAATATATTCATTTTCTTCAATCTGCCAAATTTAAAAGAAAAAAAAATATTTTATGGGATAAATTTCTTCATATCTGAAAGAGCTCAAATTACAATACAAGGTTATCACATTGAGTGTTATCTGCAGATAACTCTATTACAGCAGTGAATATGTGCAGCTGGTAAAGAGTGTAATCAACACAAAAGGTCTAGAAATGCAGTGGATAGTGGAACATTGTAATGGCTCCAGTCCTGTAAAGGCAACAGGGAGCATTGGTGTTGCTGGGACTCCACTAAGGAACAGCAGTTTCACTTTCTAACTCCTCTTTGACAGGCTGAAAGTGCAAACTGTGTAATTGGCAAAAGAACAGTTTGGTCTCACATATCTCACAGAGACCACAGTGGAACAAGGGTTTAGCTCTAAATATCTTAATTCATTTGCTACTCCCCTTTAGAGGCCCAATGTGCAAATCATCCAGAGCTGTAACTTTTATCCTCTTGTCTTAACCAGCTTTACTCTGTGTTTCCACATAAATCAGGGTAACAGTTTCTTGGGTTTGAACAATTGAAGATGATGTTGCCTGAAATGGAGATGTAATGCTACAGCTGTGCAGAGAGACATACAAAGAGCAGACTTAGCTTTCCTAGAGCATTTTTATTTTCTGGAGAGGCAAAAATAAAAATCTCAGCTGAATACTACAGGCATATTATGAACTAGTTTTTAATTGAAACAAAGCTATAATGGCATAAATGACCAAGGAGACTTAGATTTTAATCAACATTAGCTTGAGATATGACAGATTATTTAAAAACCTCTTAATGCTACACTGCAATTATAGAAGCTGTACACTGTGTTCTTATGAAACAGACAACATAATGTCAATGCCCTTCTTCCTCCCACTTCCTTCTTAGATAAGTTAGTCTTCCATCTCTTTCCTGGAATGTCATTAAAAGTGAAGCCTATTTAGTTTGCCTTATTTTATCTCACATATTCAGAAAATAAGAAATTACAAGGCTAAGAGCAGGACTTTCCCTGCTTTCTTCTCAACTGAGATAGAACATATGCATTGCTACATGCCCAAAAGTAACCTGAGAAAGATGCTCCTACAGTAACTCAAATAGAAAGTTAGCAAATGGGATTATGTAGGATTACAGTTTAAATTATAGTGAAAGTTGTTCCCCCCCACCCCCATACTTTGTTCTGAGATTCTACACTGGCTTTTATGTTTTGCTTCATTAGAATCAGTCGAAGGGTAATAGTAATTAAAACCCCAGTTTAGTAGAACTAGATCCGCGTTATGCAGAGAAGGCCCTGAAAGGATGCTCGGTGTCTTGCAATGGTTGTGGGAAACAGGAAGCCGGATCCCTGCGTTCCCAAAAGAAAGTTGCTGGTCGTAGTCAAGAAGCTCCAACAATTGGCAATGTTAATGTTCCTCAACTAATGAGGAGGCTTTCCCCATTTTAGTTGCACATAGTTCCAGCATCCCTCCACTGGACTGCCATCATGTACAACAGTATGGGTCACAACTTTGTGACATTCCCTTTCTTCAAGCAAAAGATATTTGTCCAGAATATACCTGTGAGAGGCCACTGTGGCTCTCTTGAACCTGAGGGAATATGGGGAAGGAACACGGAGACGACAAGTCTCTGCTGCACGCTGCAGTATGCAGTGGCATGGCTGAAATCACAACTCACCACTTACTGGATCTGCTCAAATAATGACTACATATAACCCCCAAGAAAACTGTAAGAACACTTGGGTGATTATCACTTTTAGGACTGGGGATGGGACAGAGTTGAAATCAACCACATTGACAGAAAAGGGAGAAATCCAGGAATAAAACAATATGTGGTGAAGTTTAAGTGAAAAAGAAAGCAAAATAATGGTGCAGCAGAGTACATAGTGACTGGCTCCCCATTTAATTTAATAAATGAAAGACTGCTGCCCTCACTTGTCCTCCTACAGTGTTTATTAACCTTCCTGAAGTTTTTTTAGTTTCATTCATCTGCCATAATGAATCATTTAAAAAATTATGTGTCATCTTAATCTATTATTTTGCAAACCTTTAGATTGTCTCATAGAGAATAACTAAAGAAGAAAGTATAAAGATGGTAAAAATAACATTTTTCAAAGGAAAAAAGGTGTAGAATCACAGATTATATGGGTATTATGAGCTGCTGTTCTCTGTCATCACATAGATTTTGTACACAAAAATGGCCCCAAAATCTATGTTGAATAGAATTTTTGTATTTAACAATGAATGCAGAATTCTACTCAAACCAGAAACTCACTTTTGAGGGGTACATTCTACCCATGTGTTAAGACAGAGCTCAGCAAAACAGGACACAATGTCACTGGAGCTTCTGAAACCAATTTTTGTAGAAATGAGTTGGCCACTTTTTAACTCCAGTCTTGAAACTGAAGAATTTTAAGAAAATATAGGAGTTCAGGAAAAAACACTTTTTCCCCTAAAGTAGGAGGTTATTTGGGGTTAGCAAAGATGGACTCTGGAATACCCTTTGCACTAGCAAATTGTTTCGAATTCTTTCAATTAAATGCTGACACATCTGGATTTAGAGTCTAAACTTCCTTGTAGGAGGAGATGTTTTTATTTATGTTCTATAGAGTGCATAGCAAGTTCACAACGAAATAAACAGAGTGGAAGCTACAGTACACATTCATATTTGCTCTGTCCTAACATGGCACTTCATCTTCCAGTTTGTACTTGCATCTTGGGTTATTTGATTTAATGCGGTTTTATTACTTGGTAAAGCAACTCTCTTTAGAAACTGCCCTTATGGACACATAATATAGTTTAAGGAAATTAATTCGAAAATGAGCAGAGGGCTGGAGCATCTCCCCTGTGAAGACAGGCAGAGAGAGTTGGGGCTGTTCAGCCTGGAGAAGAGAAGGCTCCGGGGAAACCTTACAGCAGCCTTCCAGTACTAAAGGGGCCTACAGGAAAGGTGGGGAGGGACTCTTGATCAGGGAGGGCAGTGATAGGACGAGGGGTAATGGTTTCAAACTGAAAGGGTAGATTTAGATTAGATAGTAGGAAGAAGTTCTTCACAGTGAGGGAGGTGAGGCACTGGCACAGGTTGCCCAGAGAAGCTGTGGCTGCCCCCTCCCTGGCAGTGTTCAAGGTCAGGCTGGATGGGGCTTGGAGCAACCTGGTCTGGTGGGAGGGGTCCCTGCCCACGGTGGGGCCGGGCGGGGAGTGGGGAGGGTGGTGGAACTGGATGGTCTTTAAGGGCCCTTCCAACCCAAATCACCCTGTGATTCTATGATTCTAATCCAAGTAGAAGGAACTTTAAACCTAGGGGGTGAGGGCGCTCATGGCAGCATAACTGCTGTTGTGCCTTGCATGGTGACATTTCTGTTGTAAGACATTTCACTCAAGCTTCTTATATACCATTTTGCCCTTCTGACGTAGCTTTAGACTGAGCATCAGTGAAGAAGAAGGGTTTTTTTAAGGAGAGAAATGTTTCCTGTGACAGACACTTTTCAGATACTTATATCTTTCACAACACCTATTCTTTCATTACATGGTCTAAGGCTTTTGTCAAAGGAACAGTCATTTTTTATAGGAGGGGACAGGCAGCAACAGGTTTAAACTGTAGCAAGAAAGATTTGGGTTTGGCATTACGAAAAAATTCCTAACACTATGGGTATTTAAGCACTGCAATAGGTTGCTAATGGAGGTTGTGAAACCTTCATCATTGGATTGTTTTCAGCAGAGGTCAGGAAAACAGCTGGCAGGAATGACATGGACTTAGCTAGTTCCTGGGGAGGGGAGATGGACAAGATGGGTTGTTGGTGTTCCTTTCCAGCTCTACTTTTTCAATGATGGTTAAAACAAACCAGAAAACAATTTACCTGCTTGCGGAATTTCATCCAGGTGCAAGTTATGGGTGCCGTTCCTAACACTTTGGCAAACAACTCCACTGATTCACCCGCACGGACTTTTCTGTCTTCTGGGAACTGAGTAATCTGAGGGGGAGCAGCTGTTGAAAAAAACAATATATCTCTCTTTAGGTGACTATACTTTATTTTTCTTAAAATTCAAAACAGTTTCAAAGCAGCATTTGAAATCCAGATTAGCAGTTATCTGTTGCTTGCAATGAAACAATTCTGTGGACGCTGTTAATTCTACTGTCATGAACCACTAACAATCCACCTGTCAGAAGTTTGCTCATGCAAGACCAAGGTACAGAAATCCAAAGGCCGAAAGTGTTGAGACCTACCACCAATTCCAAATATACAGCTTATGAAGTTTTGTGCTGAGTTTTTCAGAGAAACTTCTTTTTTCTTTTGCACTTTGCATTTCTGAAGAATGGCTCCAGCTAACTTCACATCAATTTGCGTGTGCTGAGGGGGTCTGCAAATCTGTTCCCTAATGTCATCAAGAGCATTCAGAAAATTTAAGACTCAACAACTGCCTATGAAGATTCTGGCTTCAGCAGCCAGGTAGACACCATGTAGGACAGTTATTAGAGAGACAAGGAAGGAAATCAACGTCTTTCTCAGTCGCACTCAGTTTTCCCATGAGCATTGACAGATCCATTTGTTTGTGTATTACGGTGCTTCTTTTAAATCTTACAGTCCCATTCATATGCCTCTATTTCTGAATCAGCTATTTCTCCTCCTCTTCCCTCTTGCTGCCTGAGTATCAATAGATGGCAGAACATCTCTTTCGCTAATCGTGCTATGTCCTGACTCTCATTTGTGGTGCTGAGTGTGCCAGACCCCTGGTAGCTGCTACGGAAAGATGCCAGAAATATCACAGCCTGGACAATTCCAGGGTGTAACTTGTTCTGTTGCTTTTCAACAACACAATAAAAGATATTAGACAAATAGAGCCACACAATAACAGATAAAAGAGCAGCACAAGAAAAAATATTCGGAGGTGGGATGTCAGAGGGAAAGGGGGCAGATTTGAGGACATATTGACAGAAATATAAAGAAGGACTTGGGGGTACTGGTGAACGAAAAGGTGGACATGAGCCAGCAATGTGCGCTTGCAGCCTAGAAGGCCAATCGTATCCTGGGCTGCATCAAAAGAAGTGTGGCCAGCAGGTTGAGGGAGGAGATTCTGTCCCTGTACTCTGCTCTGGTAAGACCCCACCTGCAGTGCTGTGTTTGGCTCTGGAGTCCTCACCACAGGAAAGACACGGAGCTGTTGGAGTGAGTCCAAAGGAGGGCCACAAAAATGATCAGGGGGCTGGAGCACCCTGTGAGGGCAGGCTGAGAGAGCTGGGCTTATTCAGCCTGGAGAAGAGAAGGCTCTGGGAAGACCTTACAGCGGCCTTCTAGACCTTAAAGGGGGCCTGCAGGAAAGGTAGGGAGGGACTCTTATCAGGGAGGGTAGTGACTGGACGAGGGGTAACAGTTTTAAACTACAGGAGAGTAGATTTAGACTGGATATACGGAAGAAATTTTTCACCATGAGGGCGGTGAAACACTGGCACAGGCTGCCCAGAGAGGTGGTAGAAGCCCCATCCCTGTAAATGTTCAAGGTCAGCTTGGATGGGGCTCTGAGCAACTTGATCCAGTTAAAGATGTCCCTGCTTACTGCAGGGGGGTTGGACTAGATGGTCTTTAAAGGTCCCTCCCAACTCAAAATATTTTGTGATTCTATGAAATGGTAAAAGGCATTCCCTAATATTAGAATTATCTCACTGCCAAATGTAACACTCCTCTCCAAAGCACAGGGCTACTGGGCATGAAAAAAGTGCTTTCTTTTTCTTTTTGATGTAATTAAAAGAAAGTCGGTTCG